CCTATCCATCCACTCCATACCATCCATCCATCCTATACCACTCCACCTACCACCCACTCCACTCCATCCATCCATCCATCCATCCATCCATCCATCCATCCATCCATCCATCCATCCATCCATCCATCCATCCATCCATCCATCCATCTATCCATTCATCTATCTATCCACCCATCCACATATACCTATTAATCTTTTTTGCGTCTGTGTCTGCGGATACAGCTTGCTAAATACGCAGAAATCTACGAGGATTTCCACACAATTTGATTATTTCTTGTTTATCTGCTTCACTGCATCGACCATAGTATTGGTCAATTGAAATTCAAACTAGCGTGAAGGAATGTCTGAATGATCACGCACCATGTACTTATACAAGCAATGTAGACACATATAACCAAATGATAAGCAGCGTGATATACATACTACTGTTGAACAGACAACTCCAAAATAGCGTGCATATTGTCTCGTTATCATCGTTGACACGTAAACCGCATGCATGGCGTCTATCATTATGAAATTACCAGGCGCAGAAATGAACGGAAACTGAGTTTACCGTCTGTAAATATTCCGCTGGCGAGAACCTCCCCAGAAATATAACGGCCGCGAGCGAGATTTGTTTTGTTCGCCACGCATTTCGATATAGTAGTGAGTAAAAGTAGCGGATCAAAAAGCACCGCCAATAAACGTATTCTAATACCCGCCCGCTCCCCTTCCTTCTTCGTTAGCATAAACTGTTTGGCACGCCTAGCGCTCTGCCATCGCGTCTGTTGCTGTTGCAGCGACAGTCTATCGACGGTTGACAGTCTAGTTTCGCCCGCGCCGGTTGGTGGCATAAAGGCCGGATTGTTCGCGTGTTGCGACTCAGCTAGCAGCTACCTATATACAGGTAGATGATTGCCGCAACGGCCACATAAAGGCGTCTACAGTGCTGCACGCGTGCGCACTTAACTGCCGCCGCCGATGAAGACAACATGTTTTGCATGGCAATGTCACTGACATCCTTGCGGACGAACATACGTTCATAGTCAACGTACGTATACGTGCGGACATACGTTTATAGTCAGCGAGTATTGATGAGACACCAGCGTCACATCAGCGTCAACGTGCCCGGACGCAGAAGCGACGGACTGCGCCTCGTCGGAAAAGCAGTGAGAGCGACCGATGCAAACCATACCCACGTCCGTCACGAGTGGCGCGAAGAAGCTTACGCGTCCAGCCGACACGACAAACGTTGCATGTGTGCTACCGCTAACGCTCGTTCAGTGATATTCGCGTGCCCGTTGTTCAGCCTCGCGGCGTGACGTGTCGCACACGCGTGAACAGCAGTCGCAGGTCCACGTGAGACGATTGCCGCGATGATGTCCCAATGACAACGCACAGCGATTGAAGTAAATACGTCCATATACTAACCTAATAAGTTTATCAAGTAGCATACGTGCGTATATCGTCTACGTGCATATCTACATATTCACTGTGTGCTATTGTTGGCAGGCAATCAACAGCCGTGGTGAAAGCGCGTGGATTGGCAGGTTCTTTGTGGCTAAACCTGAAACATTTCCTACGGAATCTTAATCTCATCATTGCCGACTAATGTTCAAATGTCATAGAATATACGAAGATTTCGACGAACACAATAGAGCTGTTGTGTTGCGAGACGCGACCTGTCCTGTTTTCCGCCATAACGGTAAGTCCCTATAATATCGGCTTCCAGCAGTTATTATAATTATTGCCGCGTATAACTCGAATACTTTATTTTTACTCTAATACTGCAGTATTCATAAATACGGTCACGCACAACGTGAGCTTTGTAGGCCTACTCATATGAGAGCATGAGAACTTTCCCTCGCTCTCTGGCATACGCAAATAAATCACGAGTTATTGTAGAAATATATAACCATATGCATGCGTATATGTGTGGTTGTGTGTGTGTGTGTGTGTGTGTGTGTGTGTGTGTGTGTGTGTGTGTGTGTGTGTGTGTGTGTGTGTGTGAAGACAGTCATTCATTTGCCATGCCATGTGGTGCTATTTCCATTTCATTCCATATTGCGAGCCCCAATCGAAAGCTACTACCTGTACTCACCGACCGGAAGCCAGAGTTCGCTGGATTCGAGGGTAAAGAAGCTGCGAACCCACCATGAGTATCGTCTATAAGTTATCAAGAAAATAGCCTTAGAGAGCTTTCTCTGTTGATGGTGAAGAGCGCTGACTCGAGCTGTACTGACCGGTTTAGAATTACACAGCTTGCCTAGAGAAATACGAGCAAGAGTCATAGCATGCACGACAAGTTGTGCCAACACAGATCTTGCGATTATCATCGTGGTGCTTTATCAACCCATGCTTCTAAGCTGCTAATCGCGACGGCATAAGTAATATGGCGTAGACAAGTCTGGCTGAATATTGCGAGTAAACTAAGCGTGGCGAAGAATGTCTGAATCGAATCAACGCACGGACATTAGTAAACACAGTGAGACGAAGCACAGCGAAAGCTGACTGATATATGGAGCAAACACGACCTGACCTAAGGCAACCCAAAATATTAATTAAGAGTCAGAATCACCAGTGGAGAAACTAATGTATACAGCACGAGTGATGGTCATAAGCAAAAAAGCAAGAATTAGTATCAGCAGGACAGCAGAAAGCTCTGTGAATGGTAAACGCGAGTAGGACTGTTGAGCCAGACAATCCAAATCAAGCGTATCCGAAATAATTTGTCTAGTCTGTATCAGCAGGATAGCATCGAGAAGTGACGGCATGCGATGGTAGAAGCGATAGCAACCGCATTTAGTACACACAGAAAGCAGAAAGCTGGGCGATGGTACGAATAGAGCGAGAACAGCCGCGCAATAGCGCGATTATGAGCTGATACCGAGGGCGATGAAGCTAGATGAAAAGCATGTCACACCATAGGGTAAACGCAGCGAAATCGAGAGGCGGAAACAGGGGCGCGCGAGAGGGTTTAGTAACGCAGGAAGCAAAAGCTGCGATGGAAGTCGATAGGATGAGTTACACTGATCTTGTAGTAATTCCGGAGGCACTAGCAAAAATGAGCGAAGGAGAACAAAACAGATCTGCCAATGGATAAATAGGTACGACACAGCGAGGCGAACGATTGTAGCCAAGCAACAGAGCGAAGAGAGACAGTAAAGCTTTGTCTGATAAGGTTAGCAGCGCCGAAGGCACGCAAGATTTAGCTACATTCATCAGATATAAAAAGACAGATAAAAAAGAATAGCCGAGAATAAGCAAAGACAGCAGTGCGTAAAGGCGATAGGGCCTAAACGATATTTAGGTAAGGGCGCAGGGAAGCAGTATATGCGCGATGGAATAACGAGCGACAGGCAACTATTTAGTAACGCAGGAAGCCACGAAAGCTGCGATGGTAAACGCGATAGGGCAACCGATTTAGTATCACAGGAATCAGAAGCGTTGCTAATCTAGTAAAGCGAAGGCCAAGATTTAGTAGTCAGCAGAGAAGCGAGAAAGCTGCGATGGTAAAGCGTAGGCAACTGAGTCTATTACGTAACGCTAAGGAATGCCACTGGTACATGTCGTTCATGCATAGCAAGGCTGATGATATAACGACACGGCAAACATTTCAGCTGAAACGCCTAAGCGACTCTGGACGCACAGCATAAGCTGCGCAGTCCTGTTGCTAGAGCTTGACATAGCGACACGCTATTCTTGATAGTACGCGCTACAGCCATGTTCGAGACCGAAGGAAAGCATGCGAGATGGATAAAGCGATAGGCAGACCGCCTGCCAGTGCCAGAGCGCTAATGTGAGAAATCAGAAGCCTGAAGATGGCGTCAAAGCACTAGCAACGAATTTAGTATCCACAGGAATGCAGAATTAGATTGCGCCTAGCCGATGGTAAAGCGAGTAGCAACGATTGGATATAGCTAGCCAGCATTCTCGGTCAGTGATATTAGATGTAGTGACGATCCTGTCATTCTACCCCGACTGCCCCTTGAATGTCCACTGACGAGGATTGCTCTACGTCGAGCGAGCTTTTTATAAATATGCGAGGCTTCTTCAGCCCTGTATGTGCAACCGAGAAAATAGGGATTGTCCAGCAACGGCCCGTATCTATATATATGTCTGTATCTATGTGCTTGCCATGATGCGAGCGTGAGACACGGCGACGTTGAACTGCCGGCCCGCCGATGAAGTACAACATGATTTTGCACTGGCAATGTGCAGCTTGACATCGCGCTCTGCGGACGAACATACGTTTCATATGTCAACGTAAGCGTATACGTGACGGAGCATACTTTTATAAGTCAGCGAGTATTGATTGAGAACAACCAAGCGTCCATCAGCGTCAACGAGTGCCGCCGGACGCAGGAAGCGACGAGACTGCGCCTCGTCGGAAAAGCAGTGAGAGCGACCGATGGCAAGAAGGGCCATCTATCCCGCCTGCGGAAACGTGGTAATACGAGTTAAAGCAACGTAAGGTAGGCGCGAAGAATAGAAAGAGCTTTGACAGGCGTTTCCAGCACTGAGCGAATGGCGAAACAAATCGTGTGCAATTGTGTGCTTAGGCCGCTTGAAGATCGGCATCGTTCTCACTGAGATTAGTCGCGGAGCTAGCATGCCAAGTACATCTCGATTAACCACAAGGAAGAGCTAACTTCTCAGACAAGCGAGAAACGGTGTTCGCGGCTATGCTACGGCCGTGAACAGCACTCAGCAACGACATGCGCACACGTAGACACTTGCCGACTGTAATGCACTAAATCGGCAGATCGAACGCGAACGACGCAACAGCGAATTGAAGTAAAATAAGGCGGAATAAAGAAAAGTTCTCCTCGATATACTTTAATCCCCTAAATAATTAAATTAATTACACACCCGTTAGTGCATATCGTGCGTAGAGAAGGATTGCCGTAATCTAGCGATGCAGCGCATATTCTTGGATCTATCATTCATATGTGTGCCTATTGTTTTAAGATGACAAACACGAACAATCAAAATTAAACAGCCCGCAGTCTATTGTCACATTTCTTTGTTTCTTCACCAAAATAAGATAAGATTATGGACAAATGTAAAAGGATCACATTAGAAATAATATCCCTAAGTGGGGTGAATACGGCGCGTGGATTTAGCGAGGGTTTCTTTTGTTGGCCGAATCTATTAAAACACACTATGTTTTTGGTTTGGTTATCACATCATTGGCTTAGTATACATCACTCTCTCTACTCCGACTTAATCTCATTCAAAGTTAAGCCGATCTATTGTCAAATCATGTCATCAGAAATATACGAAGATCTCTTCGCGAAGTGTAGTAACAACAATAGAGCTGAATTGTGTATTGACGCCGAGATCGCTCGATCAAGATGCTATGTCCTCTGTGATCTCCACGACCATAACGGCTAACGCAGTTGTTACCCATACTAAATATGCGTGGTCATCGCAGCAGTTATTATAGGTATGCCGTATTTTATAAATAACCAGTCGGCCAATCGAGTTCTAAAAAAGCGTATAAATACTCGAATACATATCTATATTTTAACCTTCTTCAGTTAACCTGCGGTTGCGGTCTATATACAAAATTCCAAAAATGATTAGCAGTTAGTTGAATATAATAAGAATCGGTCTACGATCACGAAGTGGAATCGTGTAGCTTTCTGGTATAAGCTGAATCACTCAAGACATTAGTTTACATTGCATACAGAGTCCACGATTTGAGACCTCCAAGAATATTCTCGTCTGCCGCTACTTACCTAGCATCTAAGGTAGCAAATAAAGTCAAACTGGAGGATAATAAGTTGTTGTACAAAATATATATATCTATTATCTGTATCTATTGCAGTAATCCACTGAAGTGTGGTATGTGTGTTGTGTTGTGCTTGTGTTGTTTAGTGTTGTCGCGTGTGTGTTGTGTGTGTGTGTGTTGGTGCATGTGTGGCGGCGTGTTTGTGATGGGTGTGATGTGTGTGATGTGCTGTGTGATATGGTGTTTGGTGTGGTGTGTGAATGTGTGCGGACGTGTGGTAGTGAAAATTGTGTGTGTGTGTGTTCGGTGTGTGTGTGTATCGTGTGTTGTTGTGTAGCATTTTTGTGAAGCCCGTGGGTTTGGTGTGTGAATGGTCGGAGATTAAAATCTGTTTGGACTGTGTGTGGTCAACTTATTAAAATATAGTATAGTAAATACTAGTGCCTGTGTGCGAAATATACGTATCGCATAACGTATAAGTCAAGTCGATTCTCAGTCCGCATGTGATATTTGTCTAGTGTATTTGTCTTATTAGCATATAGGGAATGTTTTGCTATATCGTAATAGCAAATGGTCATGAAGACGTTATTTTTATCGCTACAGACGAGAACACTTAGGCATGGCATACTTTATGTAATTACACCGGAAAATGACACACTATCTTTTGTTGTTGGTATAGTTACACAAATGGTTAAATAGAAAGTAGCATCAATAGATCTCGTATATACTTGATCTTTTGAGCCAAAATTATTGAGGATCTGCCATAAACCAAGCACACACAAACATTGTAGGCATGTGTAGCTTGGATGGTAGGTAGTGAAGTATCTATAGCACCAAACCAAGTAAACTATCGCAGGATTGTTCTACGAATATAGTTTATAATTAGAACTAATAATGGGCCCGAGTAATAGCTATATATACGAATATTGAATCAATCAAAGATAAACTAATACGTAATCGACATAATA